TTAATTTTAGGGTGTTTTTATTAAATATTTTACTAAGTGTTTTTCAATTAGGCTCTACTTTTGTATCGAGCACTGTTTTTTAAAAATAATAACAAAAATACTAAAGAACTTTGGTTTATTTACCTAACGAGTTCTTTCCTATTTTCTATATATTTTCATATATATATATATATATATATATATAGCTTTTGAAAATATATTTCAATTGAGCACTGTGGAATGAGAAGCTAATTCTACAAACAACAGCCACTTGTGTTAACGCGAAACACTTCAGTAAAATGAATGGCGCACTCTGAGAGTTTGACATTTGTTTACAGTTGTAAAAACAATATGCTAGATTTAGCTGCCTCATTCTGTCAAATGAAGATAGCTCAGTGGTAGAAACTCTGATTGACACCACATTGGTTGGGTTTCAATCCTGGCTTGAGGCATTCGGTTGTGTAGTCACACTGACAGAGCTGTGATACAGCAAAACAGTACTGTCTGTGAATGAAGCGCACACACACACACACACACACACATATATATGTATATTTAGGCAGCAACCTTTCTTTTAAACATGTAACATTAATATGACAGACAAGGGATATTTAATTTTTTATATAGGTTTTTCCAGCATTGTTACATTCAGAAAGAAATCCACAGCACTAAGTTTGGCTTAATTTCTTCTTCTATGTGGCGTGACTTTTCAGGATATGGACAATCATGGCTATCCACAACTTCCTATACCTTGTTCCCTTAGCAAAATTTGATTTTTTTTTCCAAGCCTTGTGTACCTTATTTATAAACTACAATTTTTATTCCTTTATTACAGGAAACAGTCTGGTAAAATAAGTCTGACATGAAAGATTATATAACCCAGAATATTGTTATTGATTTGCATCAAGCAGAATATATTGCATGCACTGACATTCATCAATGCTTGCTGAATATTTATGGAGATCAATCATTGTATGTGAACATAGGTGATGTGCAATGTGTGTCACACCACATTCCATATAGCCCTGCATATCTATCAGCCCTTGAAATAAAGCTCTTGTATGTTGGTGATGAAAATGCATGGCCAGTGGTGGAAACTATGTTGAAAAACTGTGTTTTGTAGCTGAAAACTTGCTCTATCCAATGGTATTAAATATTTCCATGGAAAATGTTATTGGCATCTCACCTACAGCCATTTTCCCACTGCCATAATGTAACTTTTCTTTACCTTTTCCCTAAATACTTTCATCATGGTAATTGTTCTTATAAACTTTCCTCTATGGTACCTATACAATTATGAATTTTAGCACAGTCCTAGATTGGCAGCAAGGTCTCATCATTTTGCAGTTGAAATGGCTAAAATGTAACCATAAGTTTTATGCTAATAGTTTCTTCTGTCACACTTCTCACTTGTGGAACTCTATTTCGGCTTCTTGTTTCCTCGTTAACTTTGATCTTCAAAAATTTAAATGCAATGTCAATCATTATCTTCTGTCTTCTTAATTCACACATTGCTCTCCCTCTTAATCTGTGTTCTGCCAACCATTTACACAAGCTCATTAGGTCAGTTATTTGCTGCTTTCTTCTATCCATCTTGCCTTCAATATGCCCTGTGAGTATCGAATTCTCCAAGCCCTCTTTTCTCATTATGTACCCTGGAAATTGCAATTATCTCTTTCTGATGTTAAAAATGTGTCCTTTTGGTTTCCACTTTCTCTAAAACTTTGCTCACATGTACATGCTATTCTCAGAATCCTTCTGTAGAACCTCATTTCTGTTGCCTCAAGTCTCTCCTTCAACTCTGAGGAAATTGTTCAGTATTCACTGCCATATAGGAAGATCAATAATGCATAGCAACTCAGCAATCTTTTCCTTGTTTCTAACAAAATTTTCCTGTTTATTAATACTTTTCTTAGCTTTTGGAAGGCTTCTTTTGCTATTTCAATGCACCTTCAGATTTCATTGTCACAGAGAACAGTTCTGTATAAACACTATTTAAATTTTTGTACTTACTTGTAAAAAAAGAACCTAAGTTAATATTCTCAATCTAATATTTCAGCAGTAATGCACTAGTAGTGTATTGGAATGTTATCTGTTTCAATATACCTTCGGATTTCAGTGTCACATTTGCCCTCCTCTGTAAAAACAATAAGTTTCAATACTTGATTTTGGCATCTCTAATTTGTTGTTTGCATCTTGGGCTGTTCTTTTTGTTAACAACCATGTGTAATGACATTTGGAGTGAATTTGCGATGATGTCATCCGATCATCCATTGTTCACTACACCTGTGTTGACATCCAATATCGGCTGCATGTATACCCGACTTCACTATGCTCACAGATTTGTTCATTTGGCCGTGGTTGTATTCAACAAAAAAATAACAACAATTATTTTTAAAGACATTGGTTGGGAGTTACCAACAATATGATTTCTCACCTACCCATGGGACCCTTCCTTCAGTTTCAACTGCTATCTTAATAACTTCTAGCCATGGAAAAGGACCCTTACATTCACTACCTGTCACTTCAGTCACTGCTGATTCCTCACTGCCTGGGTGTGGGCAGCTACTAACTCAATGACTGGTGTGCTCCATTCTCCTGACTTCTTGCCTCTCTCTGCTTATATGGATAATCGCTGGGCTCCCACCCACCTATCCATCCACTTGTATTCCGGAAGATTTGAGACCACCCCAAAGCCAAATGGGTTAGTCGAATCTTCAAAGGACTACTTTTAGGACTATCTAAAATCATACTTATTATAAAACCCAGGTTGTGTGTGTGTGTGTATGTCTGTACGTTTATATATTGGATCGGATTTCCTACATTTTTCAACCGATTTCAACAAAACTTCACAGGATTACGTAAAATTACCTTGTGGTGGTTCTGACAGCACCAAAAATTGGAAAAATACAATTGTTTTTGCATGAAATCAATTTGAAAACATGATTAAGAGGCATCGCGAAAATGAAAGGGGGACAACTTATATCGAGTTATACTAATTATAAAACCCAGGTTGTGTGTGTGTGTGTGTGTGTGTGTGTGTTCATTTATATATGGGATCGGATTTCCTACATTTTTCAACTGATTTCAACAAAACTTCACTTTTTTTTTGGCAGGTAGTGTTTCTTATTCTTGCACACTTTTTTCTTTATTTTTACATTCAGAATGCTTTAAAAATTCCATTTACAAGACAATTGTTTATAATAAAATTCTATTCAATCGATAGACTCATAACGATTGAAAACAATGTTTTTGTTTGAGTTTGGGTTTGACCAACTCTTGAAAAAAAAAAAGAACTAATTAAGACATGCATGTCCATCAACCTTAAACAATAATCTTTGTTAATTTTATTTTTCAGTCTTTATGATGGTCGATACTTGATCTATCTCTTACTGTTACACCCCCGGGCAACACCGGGCTCTACTGCTAGTCATTGATAAAATCTTTATGTTTCCCAATTCAAAGGCAGCTGCAGACATAAATCCCCAAAATACTGACACTTAAGTTTGCTCGAAGATTGACTGGACACAAAATTCCTATGGAACTCAGATAACTAAGTGGACTTAAAAGAAAATAAATTTATCTACTTATCTTCTAAAGATGTGTTAGAAATTGTATTGTTATACATACATTCTGCCTTCTTGCAATTGATGTTTAGCCTTTCCTTCTTGCTTTCTTTTACTACCTTCTATAGGGGTTTCTGTAGTTTCTTTTCTATGTCTGCTATCAATACTTGTATCATCTGTATATCTTATGTTGTTAAGATTGTGGCCACCAATAATGAATTCTGGGAGGGCTTCTAATTCTTTCAAAATTCTGTAAAGGTTGAATAAATCTGGTGAGAAGATATATCTATGTCTTATACCCCTTTCTATTTTTATGTATTTACTGAATTTATTTTCTATTCATATGCAGATGGTTTGCTTCCAGCAATAACTAAACAAAATCACTTTTTTAATTATTTGGGATACTAATTGACTCTTTGTTCATTCATACAAACACATTTTTAAACTGAATTTACTTTTAAATAAAAAATGAAAAATATTCATTTCTTTTTTAAGTAAATATTTTTTAAAATATTGTGATGTTTTGAGTGGGCTAAAATTTAAAATTTTTATTTGACTTTCAAACTTGTAAATTAAAACTTAAAAGGATAATTTTCTCTTAAATTCTTTGTATTATGACAAAGGAATAAATTGTTTTATTGTAAATGTTGCTTATTTAACCTATATGCTTGAGACAGAAACACCAGGTGTTGCACATTATGCGGTCTGCAACTAAGTGCTTGCATAAAAAGAAAACTGCCTTGCATGGACATTAATGTTTAAAGGGAGGTAACTTGTAACTTCCAACTGGCCTTTCTTTTTTGCGCATGCGTAACATCAATCTGAATTTGATGGCTGCTGCTTCTTGACGGAAAAGTAAGTTCTGAAATCCTCTACGAAAACAAAACATTCGAACTAAAGGATAACGTAATTCTTTCTTTTATGATCATATATTTCTTTTATCTGCTTTAAAATATTATTAACCAATTTAGGCAAAAATAATTTTTAGTTAAGAAATAAGAAACAATTCTAGTCTGTTTCTCTAGGAAACTTTTTTCTGTTTTACTTTTAATTTAAAAGAGTTCTAACACATAAAAAAATCTTAAGTCCTAAGTTCCCAAATAATTTGAAAATTTTCTATTACAAATTAAAAAAAGAAAGAAAAAAAACATTATTTTGTTAATTTTTCTTGTGGTCATAAAAAATTTCTGTGTTTTGAATAATTGAAAAAAACAAAAACTCAGACGAATTTTCTTGTTTATGTTGTTTAACAAAAAATCTGCACGTGAAAAAGTTTATATAAAGTTTTAAAATAAAAATTAATTTATTCTGACAGAACTGTCACATCTCCTTTGCTCTCTCTATTAAATAATATTTGTTGATTTTTATAAATATAAAGTTTTTTTTTATAAATGTCATTTACAGATTTTTCATAGTTGCTCAAGCCGGAAGTTTATAAATGGGGCGAAATGGATCATGTTCTTCTTCAAAAATTTCAACAAGTTTTATTTATTCATAAACAATTAAAAAAATAAAATAAAATTCACGACTGTATTTACATTTCTAAGAGTTTTTATTTTTAATTGTTAAGTTAAATAATCACTAAATGAACGATCGATGTTGTTTTATTTAAAAGAAATATAAAAAATATAATTTTTTTTGTAAATTTTCAAAGTGCGTTTTACTTTTATATTTTTAACAATAAACTTTTGAATTAGGACAGGATTTTTAAGTTTTATATGAAAAAGGAAGATGTTTTTTACACTAAAAGCTGTTTGTTTCTTTTTTTAATTTTTTTAAATAAAGTAAAAAGGTAAGAAACATTCAAAGACTGATAAATTTTTAATTTTCATTGTATTTGTGAGTTTAGAAAGGCAATATTTTAAAAAATTATATGTCACAAGAATTAGAAATAAACAAAAAAATATTTCTGTTGCAGTTGCTTCAAACAAGAGTCTTGTTCAAGAAATTGTCCAGCATTCAATGTCATATATAGGAGGATCGATAACAACTCAAGTCTTTTCTTCGTATTTTGGGGATTTTTTTTAAATAAAAAGGTAAGAAACATCCAAAGACTGATAAATTTTTAATTTTCATTGTATTTGTGAGTTTAGAAAGGCAATATTTTTAAAAATTATATGTCGCAAGAATTAGAAATAAACAAAAATAAAAAACATTTCTGTTGCAGTTGCTTCAAGCAAGACTCTTGTTCAAGAAATTGTCCAGCATTCACTGTAGGAGGATCGATAACAACTCAAGTCTTTTCTTTGTTTTTTGGGGTTTTTTTTAACAAAATTTTCTTAATATTTCGCTTAGTTTTTGGGAGGCATCTTTTGCTATTTCAACGCACCTTCGTATTTAAGTGTCATTGCCCTAAGCACTGTTTAATTTTTTTTGTACTTTTTACTTGATTTAAAAAAAAAAAAAAATTTTAAAAAAGTTAATATTCTCAACCTAATTTCAGCAGCAATGCACTAATGGTATGACTGTCTGTTTTTTACTCCAGACTGAAGTATCAAATCACTGCAGTTTAAAATTCCATATAAACATCTGAGAGAACACTTTTTGCCTTCTATCAGCATATGGCTGATGCTAACCTCCAGGAGTGTGACTCATTGCATCTTCTCTGGCTAACATTATTCTCAAACATGAAGTGGAAAGATTGTGTAATTAAATCAATTACTTGGTCTGCTGCTAAGAAAGTTGGTTCATTGTGTCGTGCTAGACAATTTTCTCTCCAGAATCAATCTTCTTAGATGTTTTTATGTCAACCATTCATCCATGCATTAAACATTGCTGCCATGTCTGGTCTAATCTGGTGCTTCTGCTAAGTATTTAGAAATTCTTTATAAAATCCAAAGAAGAATCTGCAATATTACTAATCCTGACCTGGTATCTCGGTTTCAGTCACTTTCCCAAACTCTTGTAACATGGCTTCCCTTTGCCTTCTCTCTAAATACTTTCATGGTAATTGTTCTGATAAACTTGGCTCGACTTTATGAAATAAGTGCAGTACTCGATTGGCAGTGCAAAGTTTGATCATTTTACTGTTGAAATTGCTAGATGTAACTGTAAGTTCTATGCTAATGGTTTCTTCGCTTGTGGAACTCTCTTCTGGCTTCTTGTTTTCCAGCCAACTTTGATCTTCAAAAATTTAAATGCAATGTCAATCGTTATTTTCTGTCTTCTTAATTCCTGTACTTTTATTGTTCTCTCGCCTTAATAATGTTTTTCTTTTTCTCATATTCTCTCACACTCCATAGCCCCCTACCTCTTAATGGCTTTATTGCCTTGCTTAGGGTGAAATGATTAAAAAAACAAACAACAAAAAACAAATGTAACATTAGTTTTTTTTTTTTTGTTTTTTTTTTACTGTTATTGAAGCAAATTTTATAAAAAAGAAAATAATAATGAAAATAAATAATAAATAAATAAAAAAATGTACATAATTTCCCATCCCATAACTCTGGAAGAAATATTGAATCATTTTAGCATAAAAAATATAAAGTGTAAAAAAGAATAAAAAGTAAAAAATAGCTTAAAAATTAAATTCAAATAACAAATTTAAAAACGCATAAAAAAATAAAATTAGCAAATAATGTAAAAAATTGCATGATAAAAAAATAAAACATTGCATAATTTTAGCTCTCCTGGGCTGGGTGATGGTATATGGAGATTGTACACTGCTCAAACCATATGCCCCACACCAACCATCAACTAACTGCTATGTATATTTACATTTAATAATTTTATAAGGTTACAATATTATTTATATAAAAGAGTGTTGAAAGAGGTTATCAACCTGACCAAGTTCCCAAAACCTAACCAAATGCAATTTCTAATTTTTTTCTCTCAAGCTAAGAACGTTTCAGCACTCACTGAATTTTTATTTATGTATTTTTTTCTCTTCCTTTGAACTTTAATAATTTTTGACAAAAACTTGTTTTCCTTTTTTTCTAATATTCTCTATTCAGATACTGTTGCCATGGATGGTGGACAGCATAATCAAACTCGAGGTAAGTATTTTTATTTTACTTGGTACAAAGAATCTTTTAATCTCATGTAAATAATAGATTTTTTTTTTCTCCAATCAGTTGCATACATATTTTAATAACTCTACATTACTGGATTACACCACCTTGTCTGCCAGGATACTTCTCTTAATGCCCATTAGGTGGCATTGTATAAAGTAATATAAAAAGGACAAAACCTCTCTCTCTTCAAACTCAAGATATTGTAGTTTCTTTTCCCCTAGCTATGGGTTAATAGTATTACTTGTATCTGGACAAGTCATTGTTATCTCAAAAGAATTTTTAATGCAGTATTCACTTGCAAAAAAAGTAAGTATTAGTCTTATAATGCAAGAGTGTTTTGGCTTTAAATAACCCACAAAGGGTTGATAAAAAAAAGTAATCAATCAACTCCTCCAGGGTACTTTTAGTTCCCAGGCAAACCATGTATTGCATACAACACACTACACTATCTGCTGTTTGAAAAAAAAAATTCTTGTGACAAGTAGTATTGTAGTGGTGTGGGGCTTATAGGTTAAAATGAACAGTTGATTTACCCACACCAAGAAGATTAATGGAGGATAATAATGACAAGAAAACACATGGGTAATTTTAACAAAACAAGATAAGGAAATTATTCATGAATTTAAATGCTTGAAGTTTGTCAGTAGCTCATTTCAAGAAAACAAATCAGAAACTTTTAAAGTCTGTGGTTTTAACGAATTGTCATGAAGTGGAAATGTTCATACAACAGATTAAATGATCTGACACAAAATAATATTAAAACACGTTTAAAATAATGGTAAGAGAGATTTCATTGTTTACAGAAGGGATATATGGTTTGCATATGTTCAAAAGTAGATGAAGAGAGTTTGAAATACTTAACTTCTTTTCTTTCTTTTTCTTGGCTCAATGGCTAATTTCTGTGAAGGCAAGATTTTCATTTGTTCAAAGAAAATTTCACATAGGCTTGTGAATTTCTTTCCATCTTTTTCCACAGATTGCCTGAATTTGAAGGGAATGGTTAAAGGGAGTTATTATTTCATACTCACTACAATGTCTTCATAACAATGTCTCAGCATATTTATGTATATAAGAGTATTTTGTGATGAAAAATCCAATTTTACTTCTTGACAATACCTAATTGATAGAAACCGTGGTAGTAAGAAGATTTGTTTTCTAAATATTTTATGTCTTAAATTTCTCTACATTTTCTTTGCTTGAAAATTGTATTGACAACTTTTTCATTAACCATTTTTTGACAAATATTACTATTTCTTAAAAGTTTGATTCAATTTTTTAATATATATATATATATATATATATATATATATATATATATATATATATATATATATATATATATATGCTAAAATTGAATCAAATATATATATATATATGTGTGTTAAAAAAAATTGAATATATATATATATATATATATATAAATCCCCAACACTCATTCATACGCATGTATAATAACATAACAAATTTAGTCTCATGAAGTCCTGAAGGACGAAACACTTTTTTTCTACTTTGTCATACAATTTTCCCAATATTGTTTATATATATATATATATATATATACATACACACACATATATATGCATGCATACATACACACACACACATATATATATATATATACACACACACATATATATATATATATATATATATATATATTTCTCTTTTGTTTCCCTTTACATTTAAAAGATTTATGCATTTTTATATCTTTAAGTTTACTAGTATGTTGTTTGTAGCAATTATCAATTTGATCATAATGTATAAGATTACCAATGGGAAATAAAAGTGAAACTACAGAACAATGTTTTTTTTTTCTCTTTCCATGTTTACTGTATGGCCTTGGTATTTTAACATTGTGAGGGTGTGCCAACAATGCCTGGTGATAGTTGGAGGTATTGCTGTTGAGTCAACACACTGAGGAGGCACTTATTAGCTTTGGAGCAGATGTTCAAAAATTAACAAGCAGTGTTAGGGATGTCCATTTGGCACCTGAGTGTAACTAAATACCCTTACTTATAGCTATGTATCATAAATAATCCAGGCTTGGTAAGAATAGGGTACTTTGCTGTGATGTAAAGTTAATCTTGTACATTACTGAGTAGTGATGTCAATCCTCATTGAGTGTTTTATACTTGTGACCTAGTATCAAAACTAATATATACTTAGTAAATAATTAGAAGCAATATGGTTAGCTTACCCAGGGGTCGGCAACTCATTCAACCCCGCGGAGGCCATTAATTAAAAATTAAAGAAAGTTACATATGCAGACCCCTGTCAACCTAAATATTTAAAACCATAATGAAAATAAACATTGAGAAATCAGAAAAACAAAAGAAAATCTAAAATTAAAACCACCAAACAAAAATTAATTTTCCTCAAGGAACGTCAAAATACTTCAAAGTGAAAAAAATCAACCAAAGTGAAATGGATGAAATTATGACATGTAGGTTTGAAACTGTTATTGAAAATTGTTCCACAAACGAACCACACACACACACACACACACACACATCAAAACGAAGCACATATACCCATACATACAAGTACAAATAGTTGCAAACATATACATTTACGTACGTACACATGCGGTATCATCCACACATTCATGAGGCATGTATGTATAATGTGCATATGTTTAACTGTCTTTAGATTTCTGCTACTTCACATGTCAGTCCCTCCCTGGCCTCTTTCACTTTATCGTTCCTTTCGCTTCTGTTATCTTTTAATGTTGCCAAGGGTCATAACAAATATGTATCCATTATTTGACATTAAACGTAGGCAACGCAACTTGATAAAATAAGTCTCATGAAATATAACTGGCAGATAGTCCAATATTTTTAGTGCACTGACATAACAGCAGGCCTTTTGTCGAATTCGAAAGCCTCGTCTCTCATGTTAAAAATAGAGTCATTGATAATCGAGCTCGCGAGCCAGTCAAAATGCCTTCGCGGGCCGGGTGTGACCCGCGGGCTGTAGGTTGCCGACTCTTGGCTTAACCCATTAATGCCAACCATAAAATCAAGTATTAATTATAATAAACATCAAAATCCAGCATTATAGATTTTTTTTTTCAACTCGGTTGAGTCATAAATGTTTTTTTTTATCAACTTTATTTCCCCCAAAATGAAAATTACTTCTGACTCAATAAAACCCATTAATGCTCAGGCTCCCAAAATATAGGATAGTGGGCATTAATTGGTGAATTTATTTTTTATTTTTTTTAATCATTTCAGCCCAACCACTAGAATTTTGGGGGTTACAGAGAGTGAAAGAGAAGGAGAAGACTGAGAATGGGGAGGATTGAGGAAAGGACAAAAAAGGATCAAGGCATCAAGAAAATGGAAGATGGCAATTGACATTGCATTTAAATTTTTGAAGAGTGTAGTTACCAGGGAAGCAAGAAATCAGAAAGGTCAAAGTGCAAAAAAAAAAAACTGTTAGTGTAGAAGTGGCAGTTGCATTTAGCTAAAAATTGCAGTCGCATTTAGCTAAAAGATTGCCACAGCAGTTGCTATGAGAATATTTGTAGAAAAGACAGAGAGAAGCAGTGTCACGTCAGTGCGAAAGTAACCGAAGTTGAGATGCCTGGTGAGGATCTATTACATTATTAACACGTTAATTACACTAGTTGTAGACATGTTCACTCTTGCCAATCAACATTTATAGATATACAGGGTGCGATGGATAAATTGTCGTCTAAATGATGCAAAAAAAAAAAAAATGAAAATAATATTGACATCTCATTTTAACAGATATATTTACTAAAATTACACAAAAATATCTTCAAATAATAAAGAGTAAATGTATTCAATAAGATCGCCATTGGTCTCCTTCTTTCAGTTGGTGAATGCTGCCATAATACTTAACTTCACTTCCTCTTTTGTGTTACAAGGAGTTTTGCTGGTCTCTCACTCAACTGAGACCCCCACATAATAATCAAGGGGGTTGCACTCTGGAGAGTTAGGGAGCCAAATGTAAGGGGTGAAGTGATTGCAGAAATTGTCTGACAGCCATGACAATGTTCTTCTGGTGCAGTGTACTGTTGCCAGACATAGGTTCTTCCAACGGCCACCCTCTTGACCCAAGGCAGCACTACCTCCTCAAAGCACTTGATGTAGGCCTCTGTGTTGAGTCTGAGGCCCTGTGGGAAGATGAATGAAGGCATAGCATTGCCATCATCAGTGATCACTCCAAATACCTTTCTGAATCCTCTGCACTGTTCTCAGATTGACACCCCAACACTCTGAAATGTTCATATTGGAGATTCTGGCGCAAATGCCAAGCAGTATATCATACCATTTCCAAATTTCTGGCAGTGAATTGTGTCATGGTGCTCTTTTTCTCACAAACGGGGCCTAACTGAGTCCATCATACTGTGCAATTAACAAAAACAATATGCATGTGCAAAATTTAAAATATAAAATGGTGACAATTTACCCATCTCAACCTGGACATTCATGGGACAATTTAAATATGCATTTTGCCCTTGTTACTTAACTGTTCATATTTCAATATAACAAACCTTTTAACGTCTCTTACTACTTTAGTATGAAACCTTCAATCAACTTTCTTTTTATTTTCATGGATATATTTGTAAATAAATTCTGATACTCAACTGCCTTGTGCATTTTACACAACTTTTTAATTAAAATGAAGTTATATTTCTTCACTTGATAACATTAAATATCAGTATTACAAACTATCACCAGGCTTTGTTTGTATCCTCTCACAATGATAAAATGCCAAATCTAGGCATGTTGAACCAATACACCTACTCTTTGTATAGCATTCTCAAATATATTTTTTACATTCAGACATTCATTGTTAGTTCTAAATAATAAATTATTTCCTGATTAATTTAATTAAAAGAATATCTCAAAGTTTAAGACAAAAGAAATGTTTCAACTTTTTATTCCCCCACCCAACTAATGTTAAATTTGACTTGATGAAATGATCCAACTGAAGAGAACCTTGGTATTGAAAGTTAAAAGGAACCTAAGTAAGCTGCAGTTAAAATAAAATGTATACCACTAATTGTTATGGAGAAGTGAGTTTTGAAAGGATGACATTTCTGAATCTTTATTTTTGCTTCTATTTCAGTTAAGTCAACAATGATTGTTGATTTGAAGACTCATAAACGGTTAAGGCCAAATAGTCTCAAAAGAGTTGATCAACCTCAAATAAAAATTCCAACACCCCAGAAAACTCATTTGTAAGTTAACAACAATTAAATTCATTCTTTCAGTTTCAGCTGATTCTTTAGGGTCTGTCCGGAAAATATCTGTTCTGAAACTCTTTGGAACTGGTTGTGTAGTTCTAATGTATCTTGACAACCAACCAGAAGAGACCTTACAGAACAGACACACTGCTCAATACTCAATTTTCAGCCTTGATAGGATAGCGATGTTCAATGCCAGGTTGGGACCAATAATATTACAGATTCTTCTTTGGATTTTATCAAGAATCACTAAATACATAGCAAGAGCACTAGACTAGATGTGGCAGCAATATTTAGTGCATGGACAAATTGTAGACGAATAGAAATGTGTTAGATAGATTCTGGCAACAAAAATTGTCTAGCACAACACAGTGAACCATCTTTCTTAGCAGCAGACATAGGGATGGATTAAATTATGATCTTTCCATTTCATGTTAGTGGAAAATGATAACCAGAGAAAGTGCAATATGGCTGATGCTAACCTCCAGGTTATCATCAGCCATACTGATAGAAGGCAAAAAGCATTCTCTCAGACATGTTTTAGTAATGCTAAAATAAACATTGATACAGAATTTAAATAAACTGATTTGATATTTCAATCTGGGGTAAATAGACTGTAAAACCAATGCACTATACTAGTGCATTGCCACTGAAACATTAAGTTGAATATATTAACTTAGGTCTTTTTTTTTTTTTTTTTTAAATCAAGTAAGTATGAAAATTTAGAGAACCAGACCATGTGTGGCAGCAATATTCAAAGCCTGGACGAATGGTAGACTTATAAATATATTAGAGAAATTCTGGAGAGAAAAAATTATCTAGCATGACACTGTGAACCAACTTTTCCTAGCAAGCAGATGCCAAGTTGACAAAGTAAATACACATGTGTTATCCCAATATAATTGGCAGTGTTAACTTGACGTGTTAATCATTGAAATATTGATAATTTTCTTTTAATCATGTTTCATTACCAATATGGTTTTGATGACACTTTTGCCAGCTATTATAGTTTTGTCACAGGGGTAAAATATAAAAGCAACTGGTGTTGATGATTTGAATTAATCAAAGACTTGTTTTTATAAAACATGGCATGCCAGGCTAATTATGTCGACTCTTACAAGAGATGATCAACACCTGGATATAGTAAGCATACATAATCAGTATAGACATATGACACAAACGTCACCCATGTTTTTCACTGACTGGCCAAGATTTACCCCACATAGCATTTCAATTCTCAGTCTCATCAGTGTGGACCTAAAGCTGGGAATGGACCTGCTGTATGTTCACAAGCTAACAAAATGAAAAACAAATGCCACATTGAAAAATGCGAACCCTATTCCAATATTATATCAAAATGCTTTCTGAGTGGATAGGTAGACGCTTGGGATGACTTCTGCTTTGTCATCCCAAGTGTCACCTACCTATCTACTCTATGTCAATCTGATAGATCAACTCTTTCCCCTACCACCTCCTTGCTCATATACACGTCCTGACATGTAGCTGGCAATATGAACGGGTGACGTCGGAATCCTATGATGGACAAGTCTGTCTCTCGCCAAGACCAGACCTGATTCCTTCAATCCCAAGCATGACTGTTAATATAGACCAGTACCCAGAAATAATCATTAACCAGTTTGTGGTCATTTAACCTCTAAAAAACCTCCATCCAATCCTTCAATTTTCTGTTCCCCTTCAGTCAAAGTGGATGCTGTTTATAAAATTTCAAAAGAATCCATTTGCTGGCCATAAAATGACATCTTCTTCCACATGGATGTCCATAGTGTCACAATCAGCAAATCTTTCAATAGCCTAATGATGATCAAAAAGTTGGGATTTCACCCTACTTCAAACAAAAGGTTAGAAAGGAAACCTCCATTAATAATGGAAAGAGTGATATCAGCTACTGGATGTGAGAAACCTATTTTTCTGAAAAATTGTTTTAAAAGAAAGACTTTATAAATTTCAACTGACAGTATTACTACTAGCTGCTCGGTTAATGAATGTCATATGTTTCCGTAAAAGCAAATGAGTAAGATTATGTCTTATGTTTTGCATATCTCTCTGCGCACTAGTCAGTTTTCCATGTCCTGAATAGCAAATGGGTTTGATAGACATATATCCACCCCATGTTTGCCAGTAGTTCTCTATTTATACACATCTATCTAATTTGCATACAATACTACATTACTATTACCATATGCACACTCTATCACTAAAAATGCTGATAAAATATTCCGTTCCTTGTATCACTTCAGAAAATACCTGAATCCTCCTGCCATGCTCTATCTTTACAAGCTCTGGATCAGCCCCAAAATAGAGTATTGCTGCCATATCTAGTCTGGAGCTGTCCAATCCCCCACTTTATAACCTTGATGGAGTTCAAAAAGTCTTCACATGTGCTTGTTGGTGATTATTTTCCACCCTTTAGCCCCTTTCTCACAAGCGAAATGTTACTAAACTCTCACTATTTTAATGCTTTTTCCATGGTAAATGTTCTGATGAGCCACATTCATTACATCCACATGTTCAGGCCTTCACAGCTAAGACTTGTACACCAGGATTAATCATACCTATTCTCTTTGTATTCCTTTAATAAGAAGTAAATTCCAATTAAACAGCTTCTTCTCAATAACCGCTAGAGTCTGTTCTACCTTTGTAGAACAGACTCCCAAGTGGATGCTTCCCCAATCACTACAATCTTAACCCAATGAAATCTATTATCTAACCTGTATATCCTCATAAGAAGTGCATTCAACATCTGCATTCTGTAACCATCTACCTTATATTGGATGAAAAAAAAATTATACAGTGAAAATTTCAAGCCATACTATAATAACTGTCATTCTAAGTAAATTCTTTTTATTGATCTGTCAATCTGTGGACTCATTAAAACACTCCCTTGTATCATATTCTCAAGAGATTTACTATCAATTACTATTTCTATCAAAGTAAATTTTTATTACCAAACATAGGATTTTACTATAGGTAAATTCTTTTCAGATATTTTCATTGATTTGTTATAAATATGATAAAAATATTTCATTAATTATTGAAAATAGATTAGCATTTATAAAAAATGGTAGCAAAATTTGATTATTTTCTAAATATACCCTTCATAAGTATTTACCTATAATCTTGACTAAGAAGCATAAATCTTGTATGTAGAATAATGTTTAACAGCATGAAAAATAGAACTGTCAATTAGAGTTCAAATTCTGTCTCAGACAGTTTGCTTTGGGAAAGGCAAGAATCCATCATTTCTCCCTCAACTCTGGTTATGTACCCCGTAAGCTTGTTTGGTAAATAATTTTGACCAAAGACAGCTCAGAATTTAAAAGTGTAGAAAAGTCAACTGGAAACTATTTTTCCCAAAATTAGTCATGACAATATTCAGTTGGGAGGAAAGCTGTGGAGAACCATAATCACATATGTCCTGAAATGATATGCAATTAAAGAAAAGAAAATCAGCACTGATGTTTTGATTATTGGTGTTGGCTTAGATTGACCTAGAGCTCCACAAGGCAAAATTTTGTATTTTTAAAATATTTTACATACCCACATACTTATTTTATATAATGTGTATCAGGTAGCAGTCTTTCAAGAATATAGGTTTGATTAAAAATGACAGAAAAGGATTTTTTTTTTTTTTTTTTTTTTTTTTTTTGCTAACTTTTCATGTACAAGAGAGCATATATTTGGGCCAGTGAGGATAAATATTATCAATATTATTTGAATGTTTGTGATTGCGCACACTTACAATCATACTTTTGGTCATTTTGAAGAAAACAAAAAAGTAATAAAAATTCCTCATCTGGCATTTTTAATCAGACATGTTTAATTGTATCAATTTTCTTTGCTACTATTATTTCTTCCTTTTATTTTTTCACCGAATTTCATTTTCTTTCAAAGTTATCGTGAAGGTACTCATGAAGATATCTTGAAGTTATTGAAAGATGAAAACTTCTATGAAGATGAAGGCGTATTTTTGAAAGGCAAGGTAAATACCTTTTGATTTTTAAATCTTATCTGAGAGGAATATATTCCATGACCCCCAGCAGATGCCCACCACTGCAGATAGTACAAAGAACTTTATGCAAGGAGTATTGAAAACCTATCAGCCTGATAATTTGACCAAATGATTAAACATCAGATACTAATTTTTTTAATGGGTTAGATCAAAAACTTTTCAGCACCTTATACATAAGGATGATCAAGTTTAGATACAACAGAAATGAGGTATAATGAAAAAAATAACAGAACTAATAAAAAAAAAATAAAACAATTAGAACAATAATGGGTATGCTATAGAAGAAAGGTTTATTATTATTTCCCCCATTATGGGCATTATTAAATCCATGATATAATAACACTGTATATCATAAATGGAATGGAACAGCTGAAAGGAAAAGAAATAACAAAATGCTTTGTTCTGAGAGAAAGTTTTATACCACTACATCATACACAAAATTATATATACATATTTATGCATTGTTTCTTTTTATTTTGTCAACTGTATAGTATAGTAGGGTCAGTTGGGCATTGTCTGTGAGAAAAAGACCACCATGACACAATTCACTCCACCAGAAATTTGGAAACAGCATGCTGTACTGCTTGGCATTCATACCAGAAGCGTCAATATGAACATTTCAGTGTTTGGGTATCTATCTGAGGACAGTGCAGAATATTTGGAAAAAGTTGGATGAGTCTAATGATGATTACAAAGGTATAGCTGCTCAGAAAACTCATTCTAACCATTCTGATAAGAAAAGAACTCCCAAATTTGTTGGACACAGAAGCATACATCAAGTGCCTTCAGGAGGTCATGCTGCCCTGGGTAAAGAGTGTGGCTGCTGGAAGACCCTATGTCTGGCAACAGGACTCTGCACCATGGCACAAAAGCAGGAAAACATTTGTCATGGCTGTCAGACAATTTCTGCCAACCACATCACCCCTTACATCTGACCACTTAATTCCCCAAACTGCAACCCCCTTAATTATTATGTGTGGGGTGCAGATGAGCAAGAGACCAATAAAACTCCTTGTAACACCAAAGGTGAAGTGAAGGCAGGATTATGGCCTAATTCACCAACTTAAACAAGGAGACTGTCCAGAAGAGTTGCATGAGATTCCAAAGTCGTCTGGAGGCCTAGGTTGAAGCCAAGAGCGATTTTATTGAATAAATTTACTCTTTAGTATTTCAAGATATTTTTGTGTATTTTTGGTAAATATATCTGTTAAAATGAGATGTCAATATTATTTTCATTTTTGCAGAATTTAGACGACAATTTATCCATCGCGCCCTGTATCTGTTACTTTAGCCATTATATTTTTAGTGGATACACATGTTTAGTAAACATAACTGTTTTTAAACTGTGCAAATCTATGTCTACTGGCCTGTGCATTCAAGAGTCTTAACACAAATGCTTCTTTAGAGTCAATACTAATCAGATAAGCCACTTGAAATTTTCTTTATAGATTTGAATATTATACCTCTAGTTGTCTGCTATTTTTGGACTTGGCCTGGGTGTACATGCTAGGGCTCCCCACATTAAACTGACCTTGTGTCACATCCTGTCAGTGTTGGGCAGCAAGAAAATACAATTGTTTCTCAGCTTTTTGTTTGGGATCAAAGTGTAGAATCTGTTTTTATCAACTTAATCTAATTCTCTCTACCCACTTCTATCTTCCCTTCTTTCTTTCTTTCATTTTCCCACAGAAGTGTCTTTCCCCACTTTCCACATGATAAAAACAGATTACTCCATTATTTATGTAGTATTGGCAGGGCGTAACAGTGGTGTGAACTAACAAAGTGCGGGACAAGCACAATTAAAATAGGATTTTCCTGGAGACAAATTCAAAACCATTTTTTATCTCATCTCACTTATGGTGTTTGTTTTTTTTTCTTTTCTTTTGCGTTAAGGTTCCCTCTCAGAGTACAAATTATGTGGAGAAGATTTTACAAAATGGAGGTTTTTCAAAGTGCATTCGTCTCTATCAAGACGAATCAATGTCATATGTGTGCAAAGAGGTAAGATCTAAACACTTTATTTTTTCTTGTCTGCATTCTTTCAAGTTTCTATCTAAATTTCTGGGATGAGGAGTTATAATTATTTACATTTTAACAGATGTCCTCATTTTGATGTTCTCATCACATTTCAGCAGTTTTTTTTTTTTTTTAGTTTTTTTCATTTTGCTATAGATTAAGCTCTTCAGATCATGAATTATATATATATATATATATATATATATATAGTTAAATTCCTTGATGAATTCTGTGGACAAGACAGATTGGTATCAAATGACAATTGGAAAAAAATCTTAAAACTATAAAAAAAAACTATAACAGCAAAAACATTTCGATTTCATTTTTGCCTTGAAAAAGTCGGAAGATGAAACGCGTAGGCAAAATCTAAGATTTTTTTCCAATTGTCATTTGATACCATATATATATATATAATATTGTGATTACTTATTTTTATACTGATCCTTTCCAGTTGTCTAATCAGTTTCTTGAGGTTGAGATGAAATTCATCAAGGAAGGTGCTATAGTTTTTTTAACCCAAGTACTTTCGAGCTTTTCTAATGTCATCTTCAGGGGTAAATTACAAAAACAAACTTATTGTAACTGTGGTAAAATCTGCATTCCTTTGTAATAGTGATTTTTAAAAATACACATTTCAGTTACAATAAGTTTGTCTTTGTAATTTACCCCTGAAGATGATCTAAGAAAGCATTGTAGATACTTGGGTTAAAAAAAAACTACATCACCTTCCTTGATAAATTTGATCTTAACATCAAGAACCTCATTAGACAACTAGAAAGGATCGGTATAAAAATGTGTAGACACAATATGTCTATGTTATTCAATGAGATATATATATATATATATATCTATGAAAGGCAGGGTGTGTGTGTGTGTGTGTGTGTGTGTAATGAATGCACGGCCGCACTTTTCAACGGATTTGCACCAAAATTTATATGCACATGCTCCAAGTTAGCAGGAAGGCCAAGACCGACTTTGCATTTGCCAACTCCCATTGATAGTGGAAATAATCAATTTTTTTCATGCTTCTACAGCAGTTTTCATGTACTTTGCGGCCATTTTGTACTGGCCAGAGTGAGAGCCTATAGCTGGCTGCCATGAATAGACAGGAAGATTCTATTGGTCAGCGTGAGAGCCAACAGCTGACTGACACAAATGTTAACTAGCATGCTAGCATGCAAAAAAAATCGATAGCTGCATTCGTCACAAGTGGGAAAAATTTAAATCTTCATGGCACTTTACTCCAATTGGCTCATTCGCTTGCTTAAACTCAACGTTGATTCTGATTACGCAGAACTAGGTTGGGTGTGAAAAAGTATTTGTTGTTAACATTCTTTTTTCATTCGGTTTTTCCAGTTACGAGTCCTTTTTTTAAAGCTGATCGTTTTGTGTTCATTTTGTTTAGTTCTTTTTCTGTAAGAGATTTAATGTTTAGTATAGAGCTTAGAAAAAATCGCAGTGTGAGATAGGCAAGAAGTAAGGCATATAACAATATCAGCACAGCAAAGGGCACTCCTTTAAAGTCAAGGAAGGGCAAAAATATTTTAAGTCAAGTGATAGCGATTGCTGTATGAGTCGTACGATTTTTGAATCAAACACGGGCAACGCCGGGCCATGCTGCTAGTATATATATATATATATATATATTATATGAAAACTTTTAAAATTGTTTTAGTTCCTCTAGATTGTTCAAGTGGAATATTCTAGAATGTTCCAACAATGTTATCAGTAGTTATTTTTAGCCTAAAAATACAAACAGAACATTCTGTAATTGATATTTGCGCAAGAAGGTTATCATCATGGCAAGAGATAATGAATTGACAAATTTGCAAAAAGAACTGATTATTAAGCTCTGGAAAGAAGGTAAAATTACAGGAAAATCTCAGACAACTTGAATATTCCATTTACTACCATTAGTTCATTCATTGCAAGGTATAAAAACTCAAAACTTGAAAACCAAAGAACAGGTGTTCCACATAATATTTCTTCAAGATCTTTGAGGAAATTAATATGTCAAATTAAACAAAATCCAATGGTTACTTTTCAAGTGTTGCAGGATGATTTGCTTTTTATCAGGAATCTGTGTCACTAAACAGGCAATAAGCAATGAAATTCATAGGAACAATCGAAATTTACACTCCCCTCAGAAAACTCCACTGCTATTGAAAAGGCACAGAAATGCCAGGTTGAAATTCATTCCTGAACATAAGGATAAGGAAAAATCATATTGAGAAAGCATATTATGGACAGATAAAACCAAAATAGAGTTGTTTTGATGTCATTCTAAAAATCAAGTATGGTGATGCCTTCAAACAAAAGAACACAGTTCCAACAGTGAAATTTGGTGGTGCCAGCATCATGGTTTGGGGGTGTTATTCTGCAAAAGGTACTGGTAACATATCAATAATAGATGGTAGAATGAATGCCACAGCATATCAAAATATTTTGGAACCAAATTTAATGATTTTCATTGAAAATCTTGAACTTCCTGCTGATTTGATCTTCTAACAAGATAATGATCCTAAGCACACTGCAAAATCTAAGAAGAAATGGCTTGCTGAAAATAATGTAAATAAGCTGAAATGGTCAAGTCAGTCCCCAGATTTAAACCCAATCAAGAATCTGTAGCATTATTTGAAAATTCAAATCCAATCAAGAGTTCCAACAAACATCCTGAATCTGAAGACCATATGCAAAGAAAAATGGAACAAAATGCCAATTAAAATCATTAATTGAGAACTACAAGAAGAGATTGGTTGCTGTAGAAGTGAATTCTGGCTATTCTACAAAGTATTAAATGAAGATTATGTATTCTTTTTGTATTGTACTTTTTTCACTCATTAAAATGGATAAATGAGATTTATTTCTATTAAATCAAAATTTCTTCTGTTTTCTATACATATGTAGTCATTATGCATTTGTGTAGAGTTAATTATATAAAAAGTATGTTCTTATTCATTAGTTGGAAATACAATAAATTAAAAATTTGCATGTGTACAAATATTTGTTTCCCCCACCCCCACTGTATATATAATGTATTAAAGTTAATAGTATGGGAAGCCACGTTGTTGCTACCCTTAGAGAAGCAAAAAAAAATATGCTCATACTAGATGATTTCATAAAATTTAAAAAAAAAATTTTTTTGAAATTTTTTTTTTTTTTTTTTTTTAGTTCATCTATTTCTATTGATTAAGGGTTCCTGTTTACAATATTTGAAAAAAAAATAATTTTAAGAAATTATGTAATGTGACCATGTTTTGTTTTAGCTTCCATGGGGGGGATAATTTACAATGAATTTACATAGAAAACCCCTCCCCCATGCTTCTCCTATGTGCTGCATCCCTTCAAGACATGGGTGATCATAGCTCTCCAAAACTTCCTGTTGTGTGTAACCCTTAGCAGATTTCCTCCTTTTGCTAAGCTACCCACCCTCTTGTTACTCTATCCATTCACACACGCTGCCTTCCCCCTATCTCCCTTACTCTCAGTATGCCCTGTGAGGGTTAAGTTTTCCAAGCCCTCCTTTCTCATTATGTGTCCTAGAAATTTCAGCTACCTCTTTCTTATTCTGAGTGTAAGTGCTCTTTTTGTTACCATTTTATTTAAAACTTCCTCTTTGCTTACTTGCACAGTCTATAGAATTCTCAGCATCCTTCTGTAAATAAACTATGTCTGACAGCAAGGCCTCTGATCAGAAGGTTTTGAGGAGCATGGAACCACCTCTTAATTGCAGGTTTTCCCATGTCCACCCTGATCAGGGGTGGTAGCACCTGTTAGGGTCCCAGCTATGGGCAAATAGTTAACCCCTAAACTAGGGTCAAAACACTATGAAAATGTAAAAATAGGTTTTAATATTAGAAATACTTTTTGTAAAAAATTATTACCAGAAATACATTACCAGCAATACATTTTTGAAAAAAAATATTACAATAAAAAATTTTGTTGGCATTAATTAATCCATTGAGGTTGATGTGCTGTAAAACAAACTAAACCAAAGCAAACTATTTTCTGTTAACTGTTTTCATTCCCCCATTAACTTTTACAAAATTTAAAAAATAAATAAATTGATTTTCATAGTCAGGAATGTTTGAAACTGACAACATCACTGAATGGAAACGTTTTGTATATGCAGGAGTAAAGATAGTCATTGATAAACTGATTGTTTTTGTATATTATTCATAAAGAATCAAAGACATAAAAGCTTGATAGCAGGTGAAACTGAAGCAAAAAAAATGCAAGAAGCCAAGTTACTAAAAAAAGGAAAATAAAATTAATGATAAAATAGAAAAATATAAAATGCTACAAAAAAGACAAGTCACAATGCAGTTACTAGCTGTCAATATGCCTGTCTACCAGAGCAGTTAACCAATCCCTGTTGCAGACGTCTACTCTTGCACATTTGTGTTTGTTCAACACCAACAGAGCCCACCTGTGGTTATACTGCAACTATGATGAGCAAGCCATAGTTACAGTTTCTGGGAAACATTCACATAATTTGGTGTAATCAACAGTCTGGACAAGACCATTAAAAACCCTTGGTCACAGCACCCCAAATAGTTCCATCTACCCACTTTCATTTATGAGGCTTGGATCAACCCATGCTATGATTTTCAGGTACTTTCCAAAGGTACTGTATGCAGGTCAAGAACATCAAGAAGTCACATTCCTGATAAACTGACCACAATGAGATTCGAACCTGGTTTGGAAAGTGAACATTCTAATGAATACTGGTTGCAGATGCCTGCTCAGGCATATTTGCATTTGTTCAACACCCACAGGGCCTACCTCTGGTTTATACTGCAACTATGCTGAGCAAGCCTTAGTTATAGTTTCTGGAAAAGAGCGCATAATCTGATGTGATCAACAGTCTGAACAAGGTCAGTACAGCCAAATCCTTGGTCACAAAGACTTGCGATTTTGGTTCCCAACTGATTTTGTGCTATGCCCCACTGTATGCAAGACCGTGAAAAATAGCAATTATTATT